TATAGGATATATGTTTATTTCATCGAAATAAATCCCTTCTTAAACACGACAAAATAAAATTTAATTTATTTCTAGCAAATAAACCACATCTATTATTTTTTAAATTATTAATGAGATATACCTATATTTTTACAGAAATGTATATTTCATTATCACAGTCAAATTTTTTGTAATCGATAAATATTAGAAAATGTCACTATTTGCTTGCAAATATTTCTACATTTTTCTCATGCAGTAGCCTGCATAGACACAATCATCAAAAGTAAACAAATTTTGCTGTAGCCATTTAAAAGTTGCTATTTTAGATCTAATTGTACTGAAAAAATCTAAAAATTTGGCTGGATACAAATCTGAAATTTTCCAGAAATCTTAAGCATGACTACCTAATTGTTTTGATGATCCAGCAAAATTGTTTTTCAGACCTGTATCGAGCGCAATTTTTAAATTCCTCAGCAAAAATGCTCTTTCAGTAATCTTTTCAATCCGATTAGACCTAAAATAACAACTTTCAAATGTCGTTACATCAAAATCTGTCCACTTTTGATGGTTGTGCTTTGGAAACTTTTGATCAGCTATAAAGCTGAAATATTAGTTTCAAGCGCCAATTTGATTAAAATCGTTTTTCTCGTAATTACTAATTCTTTACTCGAATATTTGGATCCAAGACTTATTACCGAGGAGAACAATCAACGAGACTGTATTCGCTGCGCGATATTCAGAGAAAATGTTTTATGTATATATATGCGTTCTGATTTAATCTCCAAGTTTATTGCAATTCCAAGCTTGGTTTCCGAGTAACCGTCACGCAGCCGATGAACAAATGATACGTTACACCCACGTCCGAAAACTGTCTATAGACGCGAACGCGCGCAGCCTCATACCGCACGAGGATCCCAAATTAGAGGAATGTCTGATTTACATCTCGAGATATCTCGGATGAAGCTATAAATAATTTCGGTGGTGGAATGTTAATGCGACCCTAGGCCAGAAAGGACTGAGCGAATGGTCCGCGGACCTCCAGTCCGCGCTCGACGTCCAGTCAAATTGGAAATACTACTACCATCACCGATCCGTTGTTCTCCTTCACAAAAACACAGTGACGAAAACAGTTCACGTTAATCTCACGTAGAAAACGATCGGATACATATTAATAGTCTGAATCACATACGCAGCCGGTTGTCGCGTTGGTTAAAACACAATTTAATCGATTCACTGCCTTTTTCCAAAGAATGCAAAAGATGCAAAGGAAGGCGGAAGAGGATCGTGAGTGATTATGTGTATTAATGACGCTCCTAAATATATCGTACCTTTTTTTAACGTAACGTTTAATGGACAGCGAATTACTTGAATATCGCTAGGAATCGCCCTTCCTGAGAATTCCGTTGTGCGACTTATACACGATGTATCTTATACCGCGGCGATAGGTGAAGATAGCGAGAGAGATGTACGGGATGCGCGAAGGCTGAGACAAGGACAGAACGAAGCGTGGGGGGCACACGAGGGTACGGGGAAGAGACACGGCGTGGCGCAGGACGGAGGGAGAGTCGAGCTGTCAGAGGCAGAGACGTTCTGGGATGGCCCCCATCCTAGTCCTCGCTCTCGTCGTCCTCCTCGTCTGTAATCGTGGGGGCGGTAACGTAGTCCTGTGCCCGACAGGATCACATCGCCACGCCGCTACTGTACCTATATATACCTACGTACGTACAGCACAACGCGTGGCGTTGCCCTGCCTGGCAGGCAAGTAACGCGGACTGCCAATCTCGGCCGCCTAACGCAAAATCAAGTCGGAGATTGTCCCATTGTGTATAACCTGGCGCTCCTCGCTCGCCCGCCTTCGAGAAGCTAGCGAGATAACAGTCGACCTCGTGCACAGTTACACGCTTCCATCCCGAAGGCGTGGAGGTGAAATGGACCATATCGCATAATAAATTATTGCGACGTGCGATAATTAATACCAAATTGAATGGCATTGTAATATCGAATGTAACGTAGAAAGAATTATTTTCCTGAAACATGATACTTAAAATTTAACTATATAGTTACAAACTTCGAAATAATTACGTAGAACAATCAAGCTGCGGAAGCAGCTTTTTCCAGCTCCTTATTCTTTAAATATTTTGGTATTCTACATCATTATTTTGACAGTCCAAAACATTATCTTTAATTTGTTGCCTATGTTAGTATTCGTGAGATGGACTTAAAGCGATTAATCCGACAAGTAGTTAATTTTGCTGTACGAGTCATCGCGTCCCCCAAGAACATCCACAAGTAACAACTTTCTTCATAGAATATGACATATACGCTGTGATTACTGGATGAAACAGAATACGGGTCGCAATCGATCACGACATTAGAGATATCGTCGAGAGTAACCTGATCTGCGGGGTAAGATAAATAATAAGCCGACAATGTGTGGTGATAGGGTCAAGAAATACTTGGCATCTAGTATCTTCTCTATTATTTACAAAGAACTACTTTTTGGAAAGCCTGATACAACCATAAATTATATTATATAATTATAGAAAAATTTTGTTTGTACAATAATTCATTTAAATTTAAAATTTTAAAAGTAAAGAAAAAAAAGTATTTTTATATTTTACTTTGTTTTATTTAATCGAACCACTTTCCGATCAATATAAGCATAACTAGGATATATAAATCCAATCATATTATCAATTTAAATTTACAATACATACCGAGCCATTCATGTGATTCGAGTGAAAGTAAATCAATATCGTCCCCTCAAAATTCATATGGATTCGCATTTAATTCAACCATATTTTTCAACGACGTGTACGGAGTTAAATCATACAGGATTAAAACGGAAGGTAACCAATCCGCGTCGAAATACAACGATTGTTGCACCGCAATTCCGCACGCATTCGATCGATCGCACTTTTCCTCGCTCGCAATCTTAACGCGAAATTAATAGGTCTCCACCATGTGGTACGAGTACTTTGTGAGATCCCTCGGGATTTCAGAACGGGTAATATTCCAAGCTGCAAGATAAGGAAAAAAAAAGAGACAAAGCGCGGACGCGAAAAGGAAGAAGAAGAAGAAGAAGAAGAAGTCGAATGCGCTGTATCTCCCCAAGTTCGGAGTCCGTCGAGACGAAGCCCGCTATAATTTCAGCATCGATCATTCGCGAAGCGCCAGTCGCCCGCGCAAAAGCGTCGACGAGTTATAGCAAAACCTACAGGCGCGCGCAAAAAAAGAGTTCCCGTGTACCAAAAACACGGAATACTTTATTCATTTGGACAAGGGGTTCGCACAGAGGAAGAGCTCGAAGGGTATATCGGGGCGCAATCATGTCTCAACGATAGAGTGTATAGAGAGATGCCAATAAATATATATGTCCCCATCAGACATGCAATATGTATGCCGATGTCTGCCAATCCGCGGATAAGACTCGCGGACCCAATTCACCACGACTTGTCCCCCGTTTCTTTCTCCTCATCTTTTTCTTCGTCTTCTTCTCGTTCCTGAGGCCCGACGTCGTCGACGCTGCAAAAAAGGCCCCGGCTTACGCGCGAGCGATTTGATGGACGTATTGAGACGAGATGTACCACCACGACGATGATAATCAATACCAGGGTTCTTAAGTCGAATCTTGGTGGTCAGATGTTTACACGGAGGTTCTACGTTATCCCGTGTCACTTGACGCATGTCCGCGATACTATACTGACAGCACAGGATCTTTTTATCAATTTTATACCCTTAATATAGTGATTTTTCGGCCCTTTATTGCACAGAATGGGTTATTCGTGTCCAAAATTAATTTTCATCACTTTAATAAATATATGATACAATCATTAAGTGATTCGTTAACATATTTAAAAAGTACTGTAAGGTTGCATATTTTAAAATTGTTTTATAAACATTATAATTAATTACGCAAGTCCCTAATTAAAAAAAAAAAAAAGTAAATCAACTTTGATTTACTTTATTTTTTCCTATTATACAATTATGAGAACTCTTTGAGGAGACAATTGGCATTGCATATTTGCAAGTGGAATTAATCTAATCTTAATTAAACTAAAACAGATATTCGATACAACACAGATTATTACAGCAGTATTGCAATAATATTATAAACGTTACAATAATAATGAGGCACCACGCTTTTGTACTGTATAGATATGTAGAAAAAAAGATTTACAAAAAATATTTTAATAATATGTCTAAAAAAAACGATCAAGTGCAAAAGTGGAACTGAATTAGCGGCTTGTGACTTTGTGAGATTGGATGCGTCGGGAAACGGAAGAGTCTGACTTGCAAAGACAAAGCAACATTTAAATGAATCGAGTAAGAGAGAGAGAGAGAGAGAGAGAGAGAGAGAGAGAGAGAGAGAGAGAGAGAGAAGAGAGAGAGAGACTGGTACACCGAAGTCGAGTCCCTTTTTGTCGCGGGTGAAAGGAAGACGATCGACTCATCGGGTGGTCGTTGATCGCGACGGATAGACGTCCGATCTGGCAGCAAAACATTCGCTGATCTGGCGTATTAACGATCTCATCAATAAAGCTTTCCTTCGTATCCACACAGACGGTCCTGAGGCCCCAGAAACATGACGCGAGTCGATGAACCCTTCCTCCCAGTATCGCGCAAGAAAAATCGTCAATTTGTTGAATGCGCTGACCATATTCTTACGAGAAAAACCAGTATTTCGTATACGTTGGGCCCAAAGGACCCAGTCGGTACAAATGTCGTGTACAAGTCGAATCAGACAAGACTCTCTTTTTCGGTTGACATCCATCGGAATTGGTATACGTCACGTATACTAACCGCAAGATAGAATAAAAGTGACTTTTTGTCGATTTCTTAACGACAAAGTCACATTCTGAAAAAATAATCACGACTAATATTCATCATTTTAATTTCTGAGTTTGTAATTTGTTTCTACCAATGTAAATTTATTTCGCTTTAATTCACTTAACGAATACTGTAACTAATATTTGTAATTAATTCTTAACGAAAGGTTTGAGAACTTAAATTTGACTGCATTTTTAATCATTTGCATACATCTTTATTACTATTCAGTTTAGACTTTCTTACATGGACAATTTAGATACAACTGTAAATGACAGTTTATCTCATTGAGTATAGTGTAATTATATACTTATATATTTTTCGGATCAAATTTTAACATTTCGTCATAGTTTCCATCCGAGGTGAAATTCATATTTCCAAATTCAAATGGACTTGCGTTCATAATGTCGCGTCTTTTTCTACCAGCATTTGTGGTTGCTGCGGTGGTGGTAGTGGTAGTGGTAGTGGTGGTGGTGGTTCTTTTGCGGCATTTTTTAACTTTACAACAGCGTCTATTTTTACTTTTTTTAATGATAAAAAAGGATTCCTTCGCACAAAATAGAGAATGTCGTTATTTTTCATAAAATCAATAAACAGTCATATTTGAATTAATACTTACGGATTCCTGCAACAAGGCACACACCACGATCGTCAAGATCAAGAACACCAGTAATAGTCTCATATTGCAATCTTGTGTTACTAATCTTGCACTGTGAATGCTTGCCTCGCGTCGTAGCAGCACATTTATACTGTAACGCTGAATAACAATTTTTTCGTTAAGCATTGACAATGAATATGGTACACACCTGTTTTGCCATTTGTCGTAGCTTATTGTTAAAAATATTTCGTATAACGAGAATAATGGCAACGTATTAATTATGTTCCGCATTCTTTTAGGCATATGTCGCTGAAATGAAACAATTGTTATAAGTACTCACAAGTTGCATTAAATTAAATGCAGATACTGTCATACAATATTATTTCACGTACTTATAACAGTTTATCAGTTAAATCATTTTTATATACATATATATAGTATATAGTATACATATATATATATATAGTATTTATATTACATATATATATTACATATATATAGTATATAGTATACATATATATATATATATAGTATTTAATTTAATTTATGCACACACAACTTCAGTCGTATTCTACAATGCTGATTTAGCCTCCCAAGAGAGAATTCACATGATAGATCAGTATTGAATTCTGGCGAAGTACCGATTCTGTACCGAAAAATGAGTTTTCTATTTCAGTAGTGGACCAGTATTTGAAAAACAATGATATGGTACTAACCCAATGTGTCGATTAGTATTAAATAGTAATACTGATCCACAATTATTATCGATACATTTTCAGTATTGTGTCTATATTGAAATTATCCAAAATCAATATGTTAGATGTCAATATTGAAAGAGATAGTACACTGCCAATATCGTGTCTGTATTTAATACAGTACTTCCGTACTATAATAGTACTGTATTATAAGTCTTAGCCTATTGCTATCATCTCAATATTTCTTTGATATCATATCTGTACTGACATGTAAAAATTGGTACTGACTATCTCGCTGATAGTCCTACTAGGACCTATATATATTTAAAGGACAACAGAAATTTTAAAATATGACATAACAATAAACGTCAATTCGTTGTCCATCTTTTCTTAGAAAATTTTTAAAGTCCTATTTTTTCTTGTAATACTGGAATTTATTTGAATATATTTATCCGACGTAATTCCGCATGCATACATGCATGTAACAATTACATATCTGCAACATATGTCTAAAAGAATGCGGAACATACCGATATATTGTTATTATTCTCGTACGGAATATTTTTGACAATAAACTACGACAAATGGCAAAACAGGTGTGTACCATATTCATTGTCAATGCTTAACAAAAAAATTGTTATTCAGCGTTACAGTATAAATGTGCTGCTACGACGCGAGGCAAGCATTCACAGTGCAAGATTAGTAACACAAGATTGCAATATGAGACTATTACTGGTGTTCTTGATCTTGACGATCGTGGTGTGTGCCTTGTTGCAGGAATCCGTAAGTATTAATTCAAACATGACTGTTTATTGATTTTATGAAAAATAACGACATTCTCTATTTTGTACGAAGGAATCCTTTTTTATCATTAAAAAAAGTAAAAATAGACGCTGTTGTAAAGTTAAAAAATGCCGCAAAAGAACCACCACCACCACTACCACTACCACTACCACCACCGCAGCAACCACAAATGCTGGTAGAAAAAGACGCGACATTATGAACGCAAGTCCATTTGAATTTGGAAATATGAATTTCACCTCGGATGGAAACTATGACGAAATGTTAAAATTTGATCCGAAAAATATATAAGTATATAATTACACTATACTCAATGAGATGAACTGTCATTTACAGTTGTTATCTAAATTGTCCATGTAAGAAAGTCTAAACTGAATAGCAATAAAGATGTATGCAAATGATTAAAAATGCAGTGAAATTTATTTTCTCAAACTTTTTGTTAAAAACTATAATTACAAATATTCGGTACACTATTTGTACATTATTGGAAAAAATGTATCAAAAACCACTCAAATTTTTTAATTAATTTTACACAAAATGAAAATGTTAGAAAGTTACATAAATATTATGTAAGAAAATAAATACAAAAAAGATAATATACCGATACAGTCTGTAAACAAATTGTAAAAGCATATCTTTTTCAGAAAATTGACTTTATGATATGTTAAATTATAATATAACCGACATTTTACTCATTTATATTAGATTGAACAATTTAAGACACTTTATTTTTAAGTTATTTGTTCACTTAATATTACTTTAGAGTTTTAAGAATGAAATTTCACTACAAGTGATAGTTGCGCTCGATAAGAGTGAATTTCACTTCACTTCTTTAAGGAATCACTTTTCTCTAAGCGGTTAACTTTGATTAATACATATCTCGCTTCGCAAGGCAGAGTAATGCCTTTTTCTGCCAAATTTTGTTCGTTTTGTGCAAAAATGCATCGAATAAGCCTACACTCTAAATTTCTTACAGTGAAATTTTACTGTAAGATAGTAATAATTGTCACTTTCTTTTAAGAAGTAAAATATTTTCAAAAGTTGTTGTATTTTCACTGTCTTAGAGTGAATTTCACTGTAAGAAATTTAAAGTGTAATTTCATCAAGATTGGATGTTGAAAGAATAAACTTAACATTTACCTTCAGTTTGGAGAGTGAAATTATTTACAGAGATTAAAAATTGACTTTCGTTTGGGGTGATTCTTAACTCTCTAAGAGTAAAAATTTCATTCCTGCCCGACTTCGGGAGTAAAATTTCACTTCCGAAATTTAGAGTACAAATTATTTAATTTTAACACTAAGAAATGTTAAATATAATTTAATACAAAACCTTTAAATAATAATTATATTATGTTGAATTAACACTCGAATATGCTAAAAAATTCAACACAAATTGTTAACAAGAACGTGAGTGGACGTTACCAACACAAATACACAATTTTTTACTGTCTACATGTTTAGATGTTCACATTGATGCGCTCGAATCGGTTAATTGACGCTAGACAGATGCATACTTGCTTTTACCGTTCTGCTAACCGTATCAATTCTACGCGCTCGGCTACGCAAACAAACCACGTATTTTCGGATGTTGACTCAGTGTGGAAATGTACATCGAAGAAATATTTGCCTTGATTCCTCCGTATACCTACTCAGTGTATCTTGTGAATACAGAATTTGTTCATAACAACGCTATATTTTTCAGATTTGATTAATTAGAAAAGCAAAATTGTTTGTAATTATTATCTTCTACATTACTATAAATGGTAAGATTTTAAGATCAGAGTAATTACTCCAAATTACTTCTATTGACTTTTATCTATTCAAAATACTCAAGCGGGTCTATTGTATCGTAATACACACAAATGTAAAAAAATGATCAATTATAATTTTAATAATCGTAACATCCGACTCCGTTTAATAAGATACTGAATAGCTACCCCACAATACTTAATGTTTATGCATAATCCACGATACGTCGGCATACAAGTGCCTCGATTAACGCGCCCTAGATTTATTTGCTGCACAGGGGAACGGTTTTATTTCTATTCTCGGCTCGAGCTCGCGCGATTTAAGTGCAGATTTCCGGTGAGTCGCGCGAGATAACGTCATGCGAAGAGAAGTTCCGCTTCACGATCGCCCAACGAAAAGGAAACATAAAGAGGGGCTTTTCTTCCCGCGTGCGCTCGTATATCATGGTCTCGTAATAATATCTAGTCGCTTCCGATCGCAAGCACGGACGTGTAACACCGTCACATACCACGTGCGTCGTGATAATTCTTCTAAAATCGCTGTTATTTATTGTTTATCGCACACTTAGATTTCGTATAAAAAAGATTTTTTAAGTTGGAAATAAGCTTTAACATGAATAATAAAAATTATATTATAAATAAATATACATAAAAAAATTAGATGTTTTCATATCTAAAAATTACTTATTGTATCATCAAATTAATTATACCATCTCAAGAATCAGGTATAATAATAATAAAAACTATGTTAACATATGTATAAATATATCAAAATATAATATTTAAAAAAATGACAACATTTGAAAAATTATATATCTGCAAATATTTTTGGTTGAATTCTGTAATATATAACATTATACAGCCACCATAAATAAGCAGTTCATTATGTGTTTTCATAAAAACGCGTTTGATCGCACGTGCTCAAGGCGTAAAGTATTCATATATTGACGCGTGCATTCATATAGTGTAACGCGTGGCGAGTACATTTTGTGTGGGGTATCGAAAATCCATGAACTGAGTTACGGTGTGGGTTCTGTTGCGCGACGAGGGGTTCCATTTTCGTTCATGGGTGGTGAATTCGTTCACCAATCCAACGCACTATCACACAAAAAACGAATGGAGGGACTTCGAATATTTGTATTATTTATGATAATTTTCGTATCCTTTTGCAATTTCTGTGAAAATTTTTCCAAGAATAAAACACGAAGAATTTAAAAAAAAAATTATATGTGTGTCACTCATTTATATATTAATAAATATCCTATTGCTTACTTTATGTTTGTACAACTTCATTAATAAAATATTGAAATTTAAAGACGAGTTCTTCACTTGTTTAAATTATTATGAAACTTTAACCAGAATTTGTTTTGAGACATCACTATCAATGTTACGAGTAATATTTAAGAGCGACTCTCTCGATTAAGCCGTTATTTTACGATACTGTCATGTTTTGTAAAAGAATTATGGAACTTTACGCTCGGTGAAAGTATCGATTAAGATTGCACATTGGACTATTTTGGCAGGATGAAGATGGACGAAGCAAGTTAACCGACGCTCGTTACCGCTAAACTATTCTTAAACTAAACGGTTTATCACCTTACTGGTAAGAACTGTACAATTACCGAGTCGCTTTACCAGCCAGATTCGTGCGAGGACTGAAATATGGTAAATCGTAAACTCCCGCCATTTAAAACAAGGATCTTCTATGCACAAAGACAATCTACTATCAAATTAATTTGTGGTCCGCACATTCCTCCCTTCCACCATCCATGTAACTATAACTTTTTATTGCCTCGCAGTGATCGTTTTGAAATAGCCTCATTTAAGGTAAAATATTGCCGATTCAATACATATAATGACTCTGGAAATATTAGAAACGTAT